TAAGGTAAAGGCATTAATTGTTTGTGTACTAAATAGTTATAATACGATATAATCCATGCTGGATTGTACTGTCAGCCAAAATCGTGGCGGTTTAATCATTAACTGGCACTGATTGTTAAGTGACCCACACATTACTCGCGAGGTGGATAATTATATCGGTGTCATTACAACCTGTTGGCGCGTCATTTATTTATATTTTAAACAATTTGATAATTACGTGTTATTAGTGGATTAAATATAGAAGCGTTATTCAATTTTAAAGAATAAATGTTTAGCGTCATATGTTCAACTGTACAACTTACATTAAATAATCATTTTACATGAAAAGTGGCACTGAAGTAATGATAGTGTTTGTGTATTCAATAACTAGAATATATTATATCTATCTACATAATGTAATAAAACGAATGGCCATCTATTTAGTGGAATATACAACCTGTATCTAATTTAATTCTTAATAAATAAATGTTTAGGAATCCGGAGTGATAAAAGTTTGGGTCAAAAGCCTCATTAATGTTTGTAATTCCCATATTAGGCGGAAACCAGACTGACCACTGACCACTGGCCAGTAACGACTAATTGATTGTAGACGACATCTCGCAAGCGCTCACTTATGTGTAATCGGTGCTAGGAAATATAAATAGACAAAATACTTTTTAACAATATTTGAAATGATAATCGTTGAACCTATGTATATTTGTAACGTTTTATAAACCTAAGCCGCTTAAATAATAAAAAATAAGAGACCTGGATCATCACAACAACCTATAAGTGGCCTATAAATGGCCACTGGTGACCAAGGTCTCTTCTCGGACGGAGAAGGGTCGAGCATTAATCACCACACTTGCTTAATGCGAGTTGGCTTGGATCATACCCATTTAGAAATAGGTATGACGCTATTAACCAGCGAATGAAGACTTGATTGTCCCATCGTCTCCACATTTTAGTACAGTAGTGAACAAAGTTTGACTACACGGTTTGTGCGTTGCCTGACCAACCGTCTGCCGGGTAACGTGTAGCGGGTTCGATTCCTGCACGGAGCAACTCTTTGTGTGGTTCACGTTTGCTGTATCGGGTCTAGATGCCATGTGTATATGAACTTATTTGTTTGTAAATGCACCCACGACACGAGAGAAAATTATAATGTGGGATAGCGTTAAAAAATACGGCTCACATGACAATTTCCTATTACGGTTTTTATTGGACAGGAAACTATAAAACATAATAACTATGAGTAGAAAGTAATATTTAAATAATGTCAAATAAAGCACTACTGTGTGCTCAAATCACGTTGCAGAGTAATGTAGGGTGCATGGCGAACAAAATAAATGACAGCTTAAACTTAAATACTTGGACATTCCTACACGTGCAGTATTATGAAGTATTTAGTTGTTATTTAGTTTTTATAGCAAATAGTTAAACTAACATACTCATAATTTACGTTTGTGAACAACTTTCAAAACTATAGCAGTCACAAACTACTTTTTGTTCCCTGACACGCGCCATTATACAACAGTGTTTGTACACGACGTTAAAATTTTATAAATATGTCGGAGGAGGCATGATTATGTTCCGGTTGCTCAGACATAATGTGGGCGGATATGAGTATCGTGTAAATAGAAAAAAGCGTTTTGAATTAATCACTGAGTGTCTTATAATCACAAGGTACAGTAACTGGGCACTAAGCGAAGCGTAGGACAGTTGCGTGACAACGTCTCCACTCGGTGACGACTCGAACTGAAGTAAGCTCCGCCGAGTGCGACTCTGACGCCACGACTCTGCCTGAGCGCACTGGAAATCCGCTAGGTGGTGCGCTTACGTTCTATTTAGCGTCCGTACTCATGACCGGCTTGATCCAAACGATCCAATTCGATATTCGAAAAAGATAATTCCCTAATTTATTACACTGGCGAATTTTGCTTTGATAATGAATAATGTCATTATCTCTGAAGAATTTAAGCGTTTACATAGTTTGTCACTGATTATACCTCTGCGGTGGTATTTTATTTTCGTCATAAAAACACAAAAATAGTCACAATGGCTGTGTATAAAAATAAAACTGAATTTATTTTATGGCCTGGTCATTTATTTTATTCATAAAAACTCGTTTCACTAAAATGCTTGTGTCTAACACCCATATCACAGTATGTAAATATGACGTCATAGTTGTCCCATCTACTAGCTACACAGCTACGGCTTCGACTGCGACTGCGTGGAATTCAATATTTTGTCTTGACTAGATCCCGACCCTAAAGTCCGCCCATGAAAAGTAAGCTTTCCAATGACGAAAAAAATCTTTCAAATCGATAGCTTTGGTGTCAGGGGAAGCAAACAAACAAAACAAAAAGATATTTCTCTTTAAATAGAACTCATTTTTTATATTTGATGGGCCGACATATAGTCTATGCCTCTATTACATGTCGGTAAATGAAGCTACAGGCGGCTGTAACACTATCCACTGCTGTTATGAAATATTATCGTCGACTTGCTTTCAGTTCCGGGAAAGGTTACGTTCGCTAATGCTAAGAGTCAACAGTCACTTTATTCATTTTAATGATACACTTGATAACTTATTCACCCGGTAATCTCTGACGAAATTAGACGGTAACATGCGCTTTAAAGAACTCTAACACCGTTGTACCCCGACTCAGAGTCATTTGATGGTTACTTGACCCAGTCCTAAGCAAATAGTCTTCGGGGCAAAATCACATAAAACATAACATCGCGACTTTTTATCCTCGAAGGGGTAGGCACAGGGGTTTTTCACTATTATTATTATGAGTCCCAAGTAAGTAGGGGTGAGCCTATTGCCATATATCGGGCACAATTCCACACTCCGTGCTATTGAAATTTTTTTAAAACCCAGTAATACTTTGCTTGGACCGGGAATCGAACCCGAGACCCTTTGCCCGGCAGTCGAACTTGCGACTACTCGGCTAACGAGGCAGTCATTACTAGGGACAAAATCATTACTAAAACCAATTCTATTTTTTAATATTTCTCGCTAAAAGAATACTGCCATGGAACCCGCCATTATTAATTTTATATGGTTTACATATTCCCAGAATGGTCAAAAGTAAGTGGCTATTAGTGTTCAATGTAAGCTGCGCGGGAGATGCTGCAGTGAGCCAATCACACACCATTTAAATGTCACGCTAGTGAAATAGTTCTCAGAGACTGAATCTACAACTATTACTTACGTATTTAGAGTCTTGTAATTATGTCGTGTTATTTGAGGTGTATGGGAAGGCAGAGCTGTTTTTATGATGATTTTTGTGTCAATTGGCATTTACATCTCTGAAGTTATTCATTGTATTGTTGTTGTTATTCGTAGAACTTTTTGTGAATTCTTTCTCTCATTTACTAGAATATAAAATAGTTCTATTGTTTAACACGTAAGTCGGCTGGCCTACAGTAGTTCCCATCTCCAATAATTCCTAGAATACTTCAGAATAACTTTAGACTGAAGTTGTTGTTGCCAAAGATTATGTAAATGAAGTGAAACAAATAGATTAGTGTCATTAGTTCACAATCGCAACACAAAAAGAAAGCTCGTGTTGATAGCGGATTTATATTTTTCGCATTTCGTATCTACGAACTAGAATAGAAAGTTCTAGACACTAACATTTATTCAAATATACTGAAATAAACATTTATCTGAATATTTGGAAAGTTCAGACGAATCGCCAAGTCACCTATGTAGGTAGGTAGTAGATGGAAGATCGCAATCGAAGAAGCATTTTTAACAATTACCTTAAACAATGATTGATTATCCTAGAAACAAGGATCCTGGTTTGTAAGTTCAGCAAAAGCTTGAGTATCCAGAACTTTGATGTACTTTCTTAAAATATGTGTCAGTAAGTATAATATATTGTATAGTATTTCGTCTCAGTGCACTTACTTTTACCAGTAAGGAATATCTTAGTCCCATGTACGTAACATTAATGCACTGTAAAATTGGAATCATGATGCTATATAAATTATTGTCACCTTAATTTTGCAAGTAAAATGTAATTGTGACATTGTCTCGACAATTACTTGATAACTTAATGTGGATAAAAAGACAGACAGGCAGCCAGTCACCTATATATTGACAAATATATTCCCTATATGGACTTAACATGATCGTTCTTATATTATCCACATTTCTGCCGAGTTATATTTGTTCACATTTCTGCCAAAAAAGGTGGTTACAATACTTTTGTTTCGCTATATTTGGGCGACAGTATAAAACTACTATCAGTCCGGTTTTTGTGCAAGCAGTGTACGGTGTATGTTCATATGGTTCTCCTACTTTTACTCTACTCTTGTGTAGTGTTATTATAAGCTTCGATCTCATTGTCCTTATTTATTGAAGAATAGAAAGGATTCAAGGACATAAATATAAGGGGTGTGTGTCCTAAAGGCCTAAGTAATTTAAGTGTTGCAAATGTAAACAATAATGTTTGGTTTATTTGCTGGAAATCACATCACCTAAACCAGCATTGTTCACAGAACGGAGTTGAACAAACTGTCAAGTACGATGCGTACACGCCGGTCAAGATTTACTTAAGTACAACATCGCAATATCAATGTTATTGGAGTTCATAACTTGATGTTTATGATGGCTACATCATAGATTCTTTCTCATCTGTTTTGGCAGAGACGTGAACTTGTTTCATCATGGCGTTCTGATGATCCATTATGGATGTATTGACCTCACACGTATCAGATCTCTTAGCATCATTATTATTGGCTGAATACATTACCATACCGCTATCGGGCGATCTGTGTTCGTCGCACCGCGGTCGGCCCGAATTAATATTCAATCTGAATGTTCGTATTTTTCTCACCTAGATGAAAGTCTATGAATATTCAGTACATAATCATACATTATGTCATTCGGCGCGATAAACGATGGGCGTGTTATCACACGATCTTCCACCTTATGTAACCGAGATACGGATCACATCCGCGTCACGGTATTGTCCCTACGGGTTACGTAAAACAAAACCAGCCGGTTGGACATCGTTCGACCAATTTATTTTTTAACATTATTTATGTACAAACGTATAAAACGGTGATGTTGCACAATATCACATTCACTGTCTCGTACTCGACTTGCGTCACCAATAAATTAAATATATCTCGACGGTGTCTTCACCGGGGGCCAGTAGCGGTTGCAACAGTGGGGGGTGGCCTCGAGCTGACCACCACATTATCGTCCATAATTGCCAAGCAGCTTCCATTGGAACTGCACCACTCAGCAGTGCGCATCTTCTCCATGTATGTTTCAGCTGCTACTGGTCGTCGTGAAGCACTGTTTCTTAAGTATTAATAGATTACTGGCGGTGACCGATCTGGTCGATCTGTCCCTGCAGGTTGTTGATGACCTCGGAAGGTACCTGGTCACCCAGGATCTCGAACAGGTTGATCCTCTGGTTCACGGGGATGGACTCGTATGCTGCCAGCTCGATACCTTCCTGGACCTGGTGACAAAGTAGATATTTAGAGCAAGCCAAGTATAACTCCTGTTACTCAGATATAGGAACTACGAGGACTCCTGTCTCTTCCGCAGTCTCAGACTAATCGCTGATGATTAATGAGGAAGTTATCCAACAATGTAGAGAACAGCTCTCCGATGTAAATGAGACGTTAAGCTCCCGCGTTTGTATGCGCACGCGCATTCATTAGTGGCGCCGTGCTTTACATGCATAATTTCAGATGACTACAAAGAAGTAAATATTTCTACGAACTATGTGAGACTAAAAAGCTTGATGTTATTGTAATTGTGACATTTAACATGTAAATATTGAATATGGTAATCGAACTTACACATCAAAGTGGTTTTTAAATGTAACGAAGTAAGTAATTTGAAATCGTATAAATTAATCAAATGTCAACAAAAACAAAATGTTGGTTTGTTTGTCATCACAACAATGTTCTCACGATGAATAAATAAATAATGTAAACAAATGTTATCTTCTCCCTTACCTTCTGGATCTCTGCGTCCTTGGGGATGAGGTGTGTGTTCTGTGCCTGCTTGATGGCCTCCCGTGTGTAGGCAGCTCCCTCCCTCTGAGGAGCAGCAGCCGCTGCAGCCACCACCACCAGCACGCACAGCACCACGGACTTCATTGTGAAAGAAGAGAGAACTTCGCGGGCGACACGAACACAAGACAAACTGTGGACCATACACAATGCTAGGATCAGATGCTAAGCTCTAGTTTTTCTAAATAAAATAAAAAACTAGATCTATTTAAATCAGAATGCTTTACGGCTGGAAATTAAAGCTCAGTGAGCTTTGACTTCGTTCGCTTCGTTCATTATCGTATTTTGATAATGAAAACTTCTTTGATTTGACTCAAGTTATACTTAGGATGGTTCTAGAAGCACAGATCTCTTCCTAAATTAGTTACGTCAACGCGGACAAGATGCGTATCTATGCGCATGCGTCGCGAAAGCCGCTAATCAGTACAACACACACTTTTACCACTTTTTCAGCACAATCCACGAGTGAAGGGTTTGACCTAATAGTTAGCACAAAGTGATCAGGTACAGAAGGCCTACAACGGTGACAATCTCACTGATAAACTGGTAACAGTAGCAATGGACGGAGCAGGGCGGCTGCGCGGGAGTGTGCGGGCGTGAGCTAGTGTCGCGGCTTGTGTGGCCTTCTGTACCCTCGAGTAGTGGTACAAGTGTCCATATCTCACCTGTGAGGTTGCGGAGTGGTGCGCGCGAGCATACGTCGCCTGATATAGGCGCCCCCTCCCCGCGCACAACTTTCACCGCGAGGACCGCCTGCGCAACCATCCTGACGATCTACGCGTGGCCACGAAGTACGCTCATCATTTTGTCATTTCATTTCATTAGCGGCCAGTGACTTCACAAGTGAGGGCTTTATAATAACTTCTTAATGTGATGTAACCGTTACAAATGTGTTGATTACAATAGTTGGTGTTGTTGAGTAACAAAACAGTATTTTATAACTATGTAATTTAAATATGTAAATGTCAAATATGTGAATACTTAATGTAATGTAATGTAAACTTAATTTAGCCTGGAACCTTCAAATACTGAACATAATCTCTTACAAGGAATCGCTTTTTGCTAAACAACCGCAGTTTTAGTGGCCCCAATCAAACGGAGGATGAAGCCAACATTTGGAATTAAAATATTGACGCAGAAAAAACTAAAAACTTGAAGTTGCATCCGGATCACGATCTAATCCAATGGCTGGAGATATCGAATGTCCATCAAATGTCGAAAGCTTGCGTCTTACAATCTCTGTGTGCCTTCGGCCGCGGCGCTACATAAGAAGATTACAGGGGTCACTGTAATGGGATCACTACAGAATGCTGTTAGAGGTTCCCGATACGTCTTACAAATATAATCTGACATCGAGAGCTCAACTACTACAACACATCCTTTATCAATTAAGTAAAAACGCGGGTTACTCACGCGACGTCGCCGCGACCGCGCACGCTGCTCATGAGGAAGAACCCCTCTGTGGTTCGAAACTAGTAGAGCTTTTCTCAGTATATTCACGTGAGTAACCCGCGTTTTTACTTAATTTAGTATGTCTCACGATAGTTATTATAAAAACACATCCTTTATCAAACATTTCGCTCGATGATCTTATACCTAGTTCCATGATCTGTAGAACAGCTCCTGAATCGCCATAAATACAAACGGACGGCAGCTTATGTTTTATGCACACATATACATATATTGCGGTTGCGGGTTAAACGAGCAGATGTATACATTTAGAAACGTTCACTGGGCCATAGTTACATCGTTAACTAAGCTATATAAATAACTATAAATATGAATTGCTTCCAATAAACAGTGAATCGCGTCGATAACTCGATATTGTAAGCTCACCTACGTAGACGTTCATTTATTTTGATAGTTCTTGCTTACCATTTGTTTTACGAAGGTTTTGTTAATGTAGTACGTCATACTATATGTGTACATATAATTTAAGTTTCAAGAGAAGGTGCAACGTTACCGGCAGGAACTTGTAGGAAAACTAAAGGTTCATAGCAAAATATTATCGATATCCGGATTCCAGTATCGCTTGCATAAGCCGAGTGTTGCTGGAAGTCAGGGAGTATCCTGTTGATAAATGATGATAACCGACCTGCTTCTACCAATATCCCCTTCCGACGTCAGTTTTGATAAATATCTTTCCCAACAATCGTTTAATTTTAAAAGCTTATTTCCTCGTAACTGGTTTTGGTTGATTGGATTAATGTTGTGAATGTTGTGTGTCCAATAGTTGTATGTATTGATTCTAATGTTGATTGCTTATGTAATCAGCGCGTATGTGCGTTTATGTAACAATGTGTCTCATACTAACCACATAGGGTAGGGCTGTCCAATGTGACAAATATATATTAATTTATGTTCTATAAAAACATTTTTACTTACTGAACAAAATAAACAAAGAAATTGCAAATACGTGTGTCGCAAGGTTAATTAAAATGGTTTAAGAATATTCATAATTTTAAACTATTTTTGGTAATGCGTTAGTAATATGCTATTTGTGGTATATTTTTCATGATGTAGCTATTTTATAGGTCTTTGAACACTGAGCAGAGTTTGCAGCCCTAGTGGTACTGGTAGTTGGTCTAGTGCGAGCTTCCTGCCTCGGAAGTTATCGCGTATCGCGATTATATCACAGTGGCTGTTGACCGGCGGCTGCTAGCTAGTGGCTAGTTACTTTGTGTGCCTGACAGAACCTTGTTCCTCTAATCATTTAACTATCTGCTGGAAATAATGCAGCGTTGTGTATTACAAACTGGTTTTGGTTCCGTCTGCTACAACACAATGCTAAATATTAATTTCATTATGCTGAGAGACCGGCCTGATTTCTATATTTGCTTATGTAAATACCATCGGCATGTCCTCTCTAAGAGTAGATGGAGACTATTTTTAATACGCATTCGTTGCTAATTAAAATTTTTATGTTTGTAAATGAAAAGTCGTTCTGTCGTCTTAAATATAGGTGATAATATTGTAGACCGATAAAAAGTCTGAATTAAGTACAATCGTGAATACAGTTTGTCGAGTGTACGTAAGTAAGTTTAAGTAATTATTAAGAATCAGTGTTACATCTGGGAAGTTTTCTCTCCCGTACTAAACTTTGTAACAAAGGCATAATTTAGGCAAATGTCGCGCCACACAACAGAACTAGTGCCTACATACATTCCGCACAGACTAACAATTACTTCCTCCGCCTGCCTGTATGCATATATGTAAGGTATGTACGAATTGTTTCTCAGCGTATTTAACGCTCATGAAGGGATGTTACGTAAGGAGGATCCTTTCTCCCTTCTATAGAAAGGAGCATGTTGTATTCGTTGTATTCGTTTTGAAATAATGTTTATATCTCCATTACCAAATCTTGAAATACAATTTATTTAGCACGTTGCCGTTGGTATATACAGTCACGGCGTTGTAAATATTATCCACATTTTTAATATTTTCCTATAAAAATCTACATATGTAGCGATGTATGTGATCATTGAAAATATTTATTTACCTTGGTCTGACCTCACCTCCACTGCACACCATTCAAATAGCGTTGATCTTTTCACAATTATTCACTCTATCGATGTATAATGGGTGCGTGAGCGCCACTCACACACTCACACGCATCTATTGTGCGCTGTGTGCAAGTTGAGGCGTTAACATTTCAAGTGAAGTAGTTCGCCGTGACTTTGCTCACGTCGTGTGCATTAACATACTTACGTAACTTATTTAATACAACGTAAAACGTTAGTCGCAGGCCCATAGTGCTCTAACTGTGCCTACGTCACTGGATTACTGTCTTGATTGTGACTCCGATGTTTCAACTATGTATTTATATCTTACCGAATTATGCACCGTATTCCTTGTAATTTGTGAAAGGAGTGGTCTACCATTGTGTTGGTTGATGTAAAGATCTTAGTAGGTGACTCTAGATCTTTTGTGCAACCAGATGAGACAAAGCCATAGGTTATAAGTTCATGTACAGTTTAATCTCTGACTGGGCGCTTAGTTAATACAATATGTTCAGTTCTAATTACTGCCTCGTTGGCCGAAGTGGTCGCAAGTGCGACTACCGGGCAAGGCGTCTCGGGTTCGATTACTGCATCGGGCAAAGTACTGTTGGGTTTTTTTTAATCCTCAGTAGGAGCACAGAGTCTGGGATTGTGCCCGGTGTATGGCAATAGACTACTACCCCTATTACATGGGACTCATAACATAAATAGTGAAAAGTGGGTGTTACAGTACAGTGGCATAATGTGCACCTCTATCTACCCCTTCGAGGATAAAAGGCGGGAGTTTATATTATGTTTTAATTATTTATATCACAATTCATTCGTGACTGAATACCCATCTCCTCCCACGACACTCAATCATAAGGTTGTTTAAAAGTTCAACATTAGAATTATTAATTTAGATGCAGATTTACATTATTTGATATTTTGTGCATACTTAAATAATACACACGAAGCGAGTTGCTCCACAACATTTCCGGATTAGTTAAATAAACTCAGAATCTCCTGTTTAGGCAGTAGATCTCTTGATAGTAAGTAAGCGCCGGTTATAAACACTAACCTGCAATACAAGTTGCATTAACAGCTTTGAAACATGCAGACAAGTAGTACATTGACAATTGATGTATAATTGTTTAGTTGCGCAGGTGTTGGATGCTGCGTGCCATTAGTGTTGTAACAATGCACATCCAAACATCCAAGTGGTGCACTCGCAACAATCGCAATAATGTGTCGTAAGCACAACACTTATTGCTGAATCTTTATGGCCACGCAGTTACACATACACCTGAATTATATTGTATGCTTCCGTAATATTGTTATTATGTCTGCAATATTATAATTCTTGCTCATTTCTAATGACTTTGAAATTTTCGAAACGTCATAAACATATAAAAATGTGAACTGCTACATCTAACCACAAATGTGGACGAGTACCGTCTGTAATGACTGTCGTGAATGTACAAGTTACCTTAAACCACTTTACAAACTCTTCCTTATAATATCAGAATCTTGGGATATCGTATTATTAATATAATGTAACGTCGTAGCGTATACATAGATAATTATATCAGTTTTTATTTTGCCCGTAGCGCCGTAGCAACGCGTTGATGTCTTTTACAAGAGACGCATATCTGCTGAGATAATAATTGTTTTAATACGATACAGATGAAGTCTATATCTCGTTGACTTTATTTTTTACTGTAGACATCGTTTAAATAATGTAATGATTTAAGAAATGATTTACACTACACACGATGCTAATGAAAAGCAATTTTTCGTAGTCGCATGAAAATCTCAAAAACTGAATAGTTTTGTGAACGTTTGTTCAGCTGTGTGTATGCTCAAAGCGAAAACATTTTGCAATTGTGTAGAAATATTTACGAGAGGAAATTCAAAAACTAAAATGATGTACAAAATGAGTTAGTTATTACAAAGGGAGTGAGCTGGCGAGGAGGGCAGAGGTCGCATGCGCATGCGCAACTAGCGCGCTTGAGTAACATTGCCCTCTTCACACTTATGCAGACTCAAGTCATAGTCATACGAGAGATATTATAGCTGTAATGTATTAAACATAACTTAGGTACAGTTATCAAAATACATTATGTTACAAACAAGTATGGTAAGGTAGTTATAATGAATTCACGCTGTAGGTAATTAGATGACCATTTCTGCGCCGAAGCATTCTTGTTTACTGCTACCACAGTGTTCGTATTTCTGTTTCAAATAACAATACATCACTTCACAGCTGCTGCTGCAGCGTGTGAACTAACATCATCTGTTGCCTGCCCAACTGCAGTAATAAATATATCTTTATCTTTATCTAAAAAACTAAAACATTTATTTTCAGTGTGGGTGTACTTTATATTTTATCGCCCCATTCGGCAGAAACAAGATCTTAAAGATTATATGATGCGACATGTAGAAGTTGTAAGAACTTAAGGAAAATTGACTGCGCATTAAGAAACGCAAATGATTTAGCAACTCATTAAGGCACGTTCATGTCGTTCATCAAAATATTTGACATTGAGTAGAATCTTGCGCGCGCATCATCAATGCCAATATCACATCATGTCCCAACAGTTGCCTCACCACACCGTCGGCGCCGGCGCCGACTTAGGAGTCCTTTCTCTTCGACACCCGATAATTTACACGTCCACGTCCACCACTTTCAAAATTGCACACAATCGTAAACAATACACTTTTATTGCAATTCTTCAATACAACAAACCACAACGTAAGCTTTCCTTTTCATTCGAGTTAAGCTCAATGTAAACCACATTGGGCTGCCAGGACCTTTTGATAGTAACTTTTTTGTTCCAATCACATACTTACATCCAATCTGGGATAGTAACAACTATGTAGTTGTTGACAGTGTGTCACTTGGCTAACATCGCGATGTTTGCACACACTCTACTGTTTGATGAACAAACATACATATTTGCTAAATAAATTCTATTTATACAAGCACATTTTAAAGTTGCCACCTTAAGCAAATTGCTTTGTATGATATTTATTGAATAGGTAAATTATCCAAATCATATGTCATAGGTGAAATTAGAACCTTCGGTGCTATCCAAAATTAGTAAACCTATTATAATTTTCCTAGACATTCATTTGGCTAGACGTCTTCTCTAGTAGACAATTTAAATATAGAAAGAACTAACATTAAATATTTACAACCTAATCTAGAGGTATCTAGAGGTATATAAATAAAAATGAATTGCCGTTCGTTAGTCTCGCTAAAACTTGAGAACGGCTGGACCAATTTGGCTAATTTTGGTCTTGAAATGTTCTTGGAAGTGCAGGGAAGGTTTAAAAGGTGAGAAAAATATTTATTCGGCGGTACGAAGTTTGCCAGGTCAGCTAGTAATAAATATATTTATATGATTAGACTAAATTTAAACTAATATTATTTGTTTTATTTATTTTTTTAATATTCTATTTTTTTATTATTAATTATTAGTTCCAATTGTCATAGCAACATATACAACAGTTCTTTTGGCTTATTCGAATATTCTAAAGTAGGTACATACATAATGGTAGTCGCTCGACGTAAAGTAGAAACTGAAATGCAGCTGAATAAGATTAAACCTCAGTATCGACGACTCTTAAAACTTAAAGTCAATATAAACAAGAGGCTTATTTTCTTAATTACAAATTAATTTGTAAATAAAGAAACTACCAACGTATGGATAAAGTCGCTAATTAATTCATAATGATTTTGTGTTTGTTGATTCTTCGTTTTTATGGAAATTTAATTTTTATGCAAAAAGCAGAGTGGTAAAGAATTGCGTTGCAACCACGGCAGGCGCTAACGTGTTGGTACAATTAATTGTTCTATTAGGCGCTTATACATTCATCATTAGATACTAAGTAGCAAATGTACGATATATCGTTCTGCTGGTCCTGTAACTGTATGTACGTATTCAGAAGATTCAAACTTAAATGGTGTACGGTACTATAGTAGAACTTATTTCTCTCAGTAAACTTTTCACCAGCTATGTTATCTTCTCGAATCGAATACAAGACACGCTACAAAACAGCTGCTCGCCCAGCCACTGCACCGGAGTAAACACTTTAGTAGCACTTAGCTATTAATTTCGTGCACATTAATATCTGGACATGACTAGATGCTCATTAGGCGCTGCGGCCAGACCATCGCTTGGCAACTGGGTCAGGTATACTCCTTACAAGGGAGCTGGCCTTCATCAGTGATGCAACTCCTTACACCGGCCATATAGGGAGCTATGAGAGCATCGCACTCGTCGAGTAAGTAGAGTGATTACATTATATATATATACCTATATCATAATCCTTATCCTTACTATTATAAATGGGAAAGTGAGTTTGTTTGTTCCGCTTTCACGCCATAACTTCTAAACCGATTGCTTTGAATTTTTGCAGGCGTAAAGTTAGAAGTCCGGAATAAATAATAGGGTACTTTTTATCCCGGAAAATATTGATATTCCCGAGGGAAAACAAAAGAATTGGTATAGATGGCGCTGTGTATTGGTATATGTCACATAGACTACTTTTATCATTTTGTGACGCAAGCGAAGCCGCGGGTAAAAGCTAGTAAAAATATAAATAAGTGGGAGAGAGCCATGCTTCGGCACGAATGGGCCGGCTCGACCGGAGGAATACCACGGCCAATACCACATTGATGGTCTATAACTACATGTTGTGTACTATGTTCTATTATATAGCCATTTCAGGCCAATCGTATTTTACATTTATACTTATTTTATTCATAGCACTGGGCAATCTTGCAACACAAAACGTTTTCAGCAACGTTGTCTGTCCACAGAATCAACAGCCGTCGGCAGCATGTCGCTAAAGGAACTAATGATGATCACAGTGCATTGAATCATAGTTCATCTTGCTTACCGTTCGGGTGGGAAGAGGCCAAATGTTATTTGGAACAATTACAGTAAGGGCTTACACAAACTGAAATAAATAAAACGAATCATCAGTCTAGGTTTCTTTTATTTGTAAAAAAACAATAATTAATAATTAAATAATACAGTGAGCATGTGCGCTTATTGCCCGGGAAAAGTGGCAGTCTTCCGGAGCAAGAAGCCGCACCATAGCGCCGGCGCACGCGCACCCCCGCGCGCCGCCGGGCGGCCCGTTTGCGCCGGCGCTTACAGGAGTCACAATGAACCGACCGTAGCAGACAATGGGAAACGAACGAACCTAAAGCAGACGTCGCTGCATGACTGCGACACGCGACGTCTGAACATTACAATAAATTAATTATCCTTACTCTACGCTTGAGCCTTCCGATAGAATCCCTCGCGGTACTTGGCCACTAAGTGCAATAAATAAAATGTTCGTGCGATCACATAGTGTAACTCTACGCCTAAACTTTACTTTCATAAGGTGGACAATATTCTAAATATCAAATTCGTTTTGTACCAAATTTAGTAATGATATAATACGTAGGGTAGGAGCGCCGCGTCGCGTCGGCTGCGCGGGCGCTTCTCTTTGTTCTTACACATATTAAAGGAACTACATCTATGCGTGGAATGCTTACGTTAATGTCTGCCATGTTTGTCATGTTCTCGTACAATACAGCTAGCAGTAATGGCAACGTGGCGTCGAGGTGAGGCGGCCGGGCGGCGCGCCTGCACTGTCACTTCTTGACTAGCTTGGTTGCTTACTTATCGATCACTCTACTCACGATCTCTCACTAAACAAATAAATAACTTATTCGCTAACGCGAGGAGCCACCGACTTGCCTCGCCCTAATTTGACACATCGCGGGCGGCGGCCACGCCGGCCACGCTCGCTCCCTAACGCTAAAGTATTATAAATAATTTGTCCAGCTAATACACATAAATCCGGCCGTCTACTTACATTACAAAATACAAACAGCCGGAGACGGGTCTCCCTTCACCGGCCATCAATTGACGAGGAATATGATCGATTCCGAAAGGGTCGCATACGCCTATAAACCTAATAGTCTCTACGTTAACTTACAGTTTCAAGAACGAAACTTACTCTCTATAAAATGCTAATTAGCTGAGGTTCCATGCGGGTTACGCCACGCGGCTGCTCACTGCGCCGAGCTCGGAGGAGCGGAGGAGGTGGCCGATGACTCACCAGAGGGACCATCTGTAGTTGCTACTTCAGAGCTGCTTGATGGAGCAGCAGTAGTCACGAGGTCGCGAACGGTCACAGGAACCGCCGTAGTGGATGTCGCAGTATCAGTGCTACTCGCAGGAGCCGCAGTGGTAACAATGGGAGAGTCGGTGCTCAGTGCGTCTTGTGTGACGTCACTAGAGATCTTTTCCTTCTTGTCGGTTTCTCCTGACCCAGCAATAGGGGTTTCAGTTAAAATGCTACTGTCTGTAGAGGTTTCAGTAGACGTAGACACGCTGAGAGACTCACCAGATGATGCTAGTTTCTCATTATTCTTCTTCATAACGACTTTTGTGGGTCGTCGGTGGTTAATAGTGGGTACATAAGATTGCGTGATGATCTCGATATCCTTTTTGTCTTGTTGTGTCTTGTTCTCAGCGATATTTACATCGTCCGACACATTATCAATAATGGGCCGTCGTGTGGTGGGCTCCACCTTATCGAAGGGTGGCGGCGAGTCCGTCACACTTTCTGACTCATCGTCCTCAATCTCGACCACCTTTTGCTTGTTCACTGTGCTTGCAATTTTACTCTTGTGAGGTATCTCGGTAATAGAGTTTTGATTAAAGTTTTTGTTTTTACTCTTATACCCAGCGTTGACTGGAATGAGCTCCTCGGAATCGGAAATACTCCCTGCAGTCGTCACGTGCTGCACAGTGTCTGGTTGTTCAGTGTTGTCGCTAATGGAAGCAACGTCTCGTACTAGGTTGATCAAGTCAGTGAATTCATTAGTTTTCTTGCCATCGGCAGACTCAATAATCGCTGAACTTTTCTCAGGATTTGCCGATATTTTAATCAATTCAACGGCATCAGTCGCTGTTTCTGAAGAACCAAATGACGTTACAATGAATTCTGTCGTTTCTACATTCTCTAATCCAATGTTATCACTGGAAGCAGATCGGGATACTGTGATAACTTCTGAACTAGTTGATGGTATTTTGGAACTGATGTCTATGGGATCCATGGTAGAAGGAGTTTCTTTATCATGACTAGTATTTTCACTCGGTAGCTCGGGTGGATTTTGGTCGCTAGTTTCGATAGGCAGCGAACTAAGCTCTGTCTGTGATGTCACTTCAGTAGCAACATTAGACTTTGCAAGTGAACTGGTGGTTTGTTCTTGTTCTGTGGTAAACGGCCCTGACTCAATTTCTGTTTCCTTACTATGAGTAGTGGTATCGAATGCAAGTTGGGAAAACGCTTCACCTTCAGTCGATGTTTTCGTGTCCAATGTAAATGTCTCTGCTTTTTCCGATGTAACTTCAACTTCCTCTATCTTTTGGGGCGCTTGAGTGGTAGTAGCTGCCGGTGTTAAACCTTCAATTATGGTTTTAGTATCAGCTATTTCAGATATACCTGGTTCATCATGAACAATCGTTGTCGGTTCATTTAAAATTTCTGTTGGAATTGCTGATCTCAAGTTAATCATTGGACTTTCTTTAAAACTAGGAGCCTCTGTACTACTTGGTACATCTCCGGTCGTAGTTGCTGCGTCGGTTGATGTTTTAAGTTTCTCTGTGGTTGTTACGGTTGTTGTGTCTGGAAGATCTTTGGATGTAGTGGTTAGTGGGTCTTTTGACTCAGATTCAACAGTAGGAGATATATTGGCCACGGTAATGTCGTGACCAGAGACGTGGTCATTGTCAGCGACTTGTTCTGGTACTATTTCATCTTCATGGTTTCGCAATACAGCTAAATCGTCAGGAAGCGGAGGGAAAGCAGGATTATGATCAAAATCTTCTTCCTCAATAATGGGAGCTTTAGTTGTGGCAACAGGTACAGGTTCGGGTGTTACGGGTGGAATTCCCATAGTCGCTACGATTGGTACATTTGAAGGATAAATAGCACTGTGCGTAGAATCTTGTGTAGAGAAGCTGATCTTGGAAGGAGGCGCGTCTTCATTCTTATTTTCGGTTGCAGTGAATTGTGTCGCATCTGGTGACGTCACAATCACAGGCAGCGAAGAGTGGATCTCAATTATGCTGGGAGACTCTGTTTTGGAATCGTTTTCTTTTGTATTTTTTTCTGATGTAGCCTCTCGTGGAATCAGAGGAGACTTGGAAGACGAATACTCGGCTACTTCAATGCTAGGCGATGGTAATATCTCTTTTATTTTCACGTCTGTGATAATTGGGATCTCAGAGACAGGAGTGATTTCCTTAATAGTGATCTCTTGTTTAATGTTCTCTTTTGGTGGTGCTGGTTGAGACTCCACGCTATCAGAAGCGGCTGAACTTGCAATTGAAGACGACGCACCGGGCAGACTGGTTACTCCTGAAAAAAAAGTAGATTTGTTGATTATGACAAATTTGTTAATTAACATACA